CACAAAAAATCGCACTAATTAAATTTTATATTAGACTACATATAGATTTGATCTACATAGTACATTGGATACCCCAATGTCACATGTATTCATTATCAACTTGATTCAGCCTGTATATTTAACCATTATATAAAACCGATTAACAGTATGTTAAAATACGAGTAAATTAAATAGCGTTTTTAGTAGTATGTTAAAGTGTACATTAAAACCTAAAATAAATACATTCGTCTTAAAGAAAAAAATTTATTATTATTTTGTATGGATCCAAAAAGAATTACATTGGGCAGTAAAGCGCCTGAATTTAAAGATGAGCTTATGTGTACAGTAGATTTTTTGTCTATAGTTATTTTAATATATACTACTGATGCACTTTCAATTTTACTTAAAGCATTTTTAATTAACGATGATAAATCGGTCGAAAAGCATAGTCACAGATGGTCATGTTATTGGAATAATGCCGGCACGCCAAAGGTGCCGGAAATAAATCCAATCAAAGGACCTTAAGTCCGCAGAATACATTGTGAGTAATTTGAGCTGCGTAATTTGTGTTGAGTGATTTGAGCTGAGTAATTTGAACTATGCTCCCGGGAAAATTAGTAAGTGAGATTGCGCCCAGGTATCATCGTAACAGTAGAATGAGTGAGAAGCCGCCTGCTCGAAGCAGGCTGGCTGTTAAATATCATAGGAAAATGGCAGAATCAGGAGACTACAGTGTGTGGTGGGAAGGGTTGGGTCGAGAAAAAAGAGACGGTTGTAATGCTTGGTTTGTTGAAAGAGGAACGAGTGTCGCAAATCAGTTATTTGTCGCTTCTTTAAATACTGATTGTTGTCGGTGGCTTTCGGTTACGTCACTTTATTTCGCATGAAATTTCCGAAGTCTGATGTCGGGTTGTAGCACACGGCGTGTAACCCTGACCATTCTCCCTGTCTTTTCGATCAATTGACTCTTGTCAACATAAATTTTGTTTAATCATAAACAGAACAGTCGAGTGTAGTATTTAAAAAATTAAAGTTTTTAATTAAGTGTAGTGTATTTAATAAATTGAAGTTTTTTAACTGAGCGCAATATTTAAAAAGTGCAAGTTTTCCAATTGAGTGCAGTATTTAAAAAGGAGCAAATTTTTTAGTTGAGCACAGTATTTAAAAAATTGCAAGTTTTTTAGTTGTGCGCAGTATTTAAAAAATTTTTATTAAATCGCATTAAATCGCACTTTATTTTTAAACATCAGTAAATTGAATACTTAATATATACCGCACGCAAATTCTTATCGCACAAATTCCGTGTCCCTGGTTTAACAGCACTCACATAATTTTGTTAATATGTCCATCTAATCTTGAAAATATAATATATTCCAAGTATTTATTTATGGATAAATCTATTTGTAACGGACTGTTACATGCTTATTTGTAACAGCGTCGGCCAACGAACCTTAGCTGACCAATCAATTATGGGAATATATAAATCATCGTTATTTTTTATTTTTAATTCCTATACTATAATACAAAATTTTTTACAGTGAATCACCAGTAGAAATCGTGACAATTTCAATACCAACTCAACTTTAACTAAATATTGTATGTCACTACAATAGCCAGTAAGCTTTGTAACAGCATTTCTTATTGTGTATCGCTATGGCTAGTAAGTGCAGAATTTTCTATAGTAAGTCATTGTAGAAATCGTCAATGCAAACCAACTCAACCACATAATAAGTCATGTTAGAAGCCGCATTAATTTCAATGCAACTAATTTCCATGTCATCATAACTGTAAGTTTTGGAACAGAATCTTTTACTGCAAAATTTTTTCACTGTAGAAATCGTGATAATTCCAATACAATTCCTTAATCACATAATGTATGTCACTACAAGTTTTGCAATATAATTTATTATGTTAAAAGCTGCGATAATTCCAATACAAACTAATTTCTGTATGTCACTACAGCTAGTAAGTTTTGGAACAGAATTTTTTATAGTAAATCACATAATTCTAACACAAACCAACTCAACAACATGCTGTGCGTTATCACATTCATCTGTAAGTTCGGCAGCAGAATTTTTTACAGTAAATCATGTTAGAAATTGCTATCAACCTTATGAATGCCACTACAAAAGTGGGTAAGTTCTATAACATAATTTTTTATGGTAAATTATGTTAGATATCTAGTAAGTTCTAAACCAAAATTTTTTATAGTAAACCATGTTATAACTCCATACAACCAGCACAGTTTCAATCGATTGTAAGTTCAGAAGCGGAAATTTTACAGTGAATCATGGTAGAAATCGCGATATCTAATACAAACATCTACCTCAAGCTCTGATATTAGAAATGCCAGTTTATACGGAATGCAAGTGTATCGTAAGTCTTAGAAATCATGATAATTCCAATGCAAACCACTCAACCTCAACTACACTATATGTTATTATAATAGCCAGTAAGTCCTATAACATAATTTTTTTAGTAAATCATATTAGAATCCCGTGATAATTCCAATATAAACTAATTTCTGTGTTGTGCATATAGATAGTAAGTTTTGGAACAGAGTTTTTTTTACAGTAAATCACATATAACTCTAATACAAACCAATTCAGCCGCATACTGCGTTTCATCACAATTAGAGATGAAGCAAACCCGGGTCACCCGCGGTTGGGTCATTAACCCGGGTGAAAATGGGTCAAGAAAAAAATTTAGCATTAGGGTGTGATGCTAAATCATCACTCGAAAATAACTAGTAAAATGATCACGTGTTACTAGTTGTTTTCAAGTGATAATTTAACATCACACCCATATATATACTTGCATAAAATGTAACATTGATAATCGTGTTAGTTAACTTTATGATAAAGCGATTCAACATTTGTTGAAGTAAAATATATACTATATTAACGTTATTGAAAGTTTATACTTTCGTTATTAAAATATTAAATACTAATATGTGTCAGTTTTAAGATGTGTTAATTTCAAGAATTTCAAGATAATAACGTGTGTGTGGCCTTAAGAACCATTAACATGCGTGCGATTTTAAGAACTCTTTTAATACTGTGCATAGCACAGAACTTTTTCAAATAACTTTTCTTATATTAATGCAGGTGTGGCTTCAGAACTTTTCCATAAGAAATTGGTTTATTGTAAATTAATTAAAAATAATATTTATAGTAAAATTTTATTTAGAGTTAGAACTATCGGCATAAAACAGCAATATATATGAACTTAAGGTATTACAAACTTGAAGTTTTTTAAATTCAATAAAAATTTATTTAAAACTATAGAACCTATGAATAATAATATTTATTTTTTAAAGGCATTAAACTTTCTTTGATAAAATGAATGATGATAACAATAATTTTGACGAATTTTATGGAGAATATTATTTTAATAAACAAAATGAAATAAATGATGATATTTCATTTAGCTCAAGTAGTAATGTATCTATTTTTGATAAAAATCAATCTCAAGTAAAAAAAATTAATTCAAAGCAAAAACAATCTTATTCAAAGCCTAGTTGGGTCTGGCATTATTTTAAAGTAAGCAATGATAGAATGTTTGATAAATGCCAAGTTCAAGTAATGAATCTTTGAAATGAATCAGTCAAGTGTGATAGTAAGTTTGTACATAATGGCAGTACAGGAAATATGGGTAATCACTTGCAAAATAGGCATAATTTGAGTAAAAATAAAAATAGTGAGGTACTTACTTTATTTTGTATTTTAATATACTTACTATAATTTATTTATTAATAATATTTATAATAAATATATTATAGTCTCAGATTCATACAGTTCAACAAACTGTACCAGATATTTTTAAACATGTCAAAGTTAAATTTCATTCAGAACTATATAATCAAGAAATCCAACAAGCAATTACTGACTAAATTGTGATTGATAATATAGCACTTAATGTAATTAATAGAAAAGGTTACAAAAAAATAATAAAAATTATTAATCTAGCTTTTTGAATTCCTTCTACAAAAAAATTAAAAAGGAAGTTTATACTAGTTATAATAGTTTAACTGAACAATTAAAAGTTTATTAAACAATACTTGCAAATAGCATCATTGACAACTGATTTCTGGATATCTCGAAGCAAACATATATATATAGAAATAACAATTTATTGATTATCAAATAATTTCAAACTTTATAATGGTTTTTTATGTATAGAGCATATGTTGTATCCTTATTTAGATGAAAAGATTGCTGCACTATTAAAAAAAAAGTATCAGAATTTGGATTAGATAGCAAAATTACCTATATTGTAATTGACAATAGCAATAATATGATTAAAGCAACTAGCTTATGGAATGGTGTTGAGTACTTGCCATATGCAGCCCACACCTTACAACTTTCTATAAATCATGCTTTTAAAAAAACAAATTTTTTTTTTTTTTTTTTTTAACGACGCTGCCTTTTTATTACTCATTATAGTGGAATGTACATGAATGTACATTATTTTTACAAGATTTTCAGTACATCATTGGTTACAAA